GTCGCTCTTCCGTGAGCTCCAACAGGTGGGTTAACCCTTGGTGCGTCGACGACGTCGGGTCGGTCGGAGGGTTCGGTCATTCGGTGGGAGAAGGTCATCAATGGATGGAACTTGGGTTCGTCTTGGTTCCGTTCCTTTTTTTTTTTTTCGAACTTTCCCCCGGTGGCTCTATGAGTTTGGGATGATGTTGGGTCTATGCTTGCTCTGGTCCAGTGCCCGCACGAAATGGAGAATCCGTGGTGTTTGCGTTCGATCGCGGAGAGGCCGAAGACGACCACAGAATGGACCGCTTAGCAACGCTTAGACCTCCAAGCCGTCCTCCGATCTGACGCGTCCTCCTGGCGTCCTGATGGTGTGCTTTAGAAAGCTCCAACCCAGTTCCTTTCATTAAAGATCTAAAAACCATATTCATTACATTTCATTACTGATAGCGATGGACTTTGAAAAGATCGGATTCTCGGACATCGGAGGTGGCGAAGGCGGAGCCGGGCATGGTCTCGAAATCCATCACCTCGCGAAGCCAGGGCGACAGGAGACGACTTCGACGACCCGCTGCGTTTGATTTAGATATGTTATTTTCATCGCTTAGTAACAAGAAGCTACTAGGGGCTCCTGGCCATACTACTAGGAGCAAGGACGCTACTAGGGGCTCCTGGCATCGCTACTAGGAGCATTCTTACTACTATAGTAACAAGAAGCTCCTAGGAACACGTGCATCGCTTCTAGTAGCAAGTGCCTTACTAGTAGTAACAAGAAGCTCCTAGTATATAATTTTCTTTTTCAGGTGGGTTCTTCAGGTGCTGAGCTCCAACGAGCGACCTTTCCAGGCCAACAGGTTCCGCGGTTCCGTGCCCGGGTCCGTTGGGGAAGCAGCGGGAAAGCGGGGAAGTAGCGGGAGTATGGGGGATGGTGAAGGTGCTTGGATCTGAACGGAGACGAACCAGGCAGCTGGACCCGATGCGTTTTTCAGCTTCCGATGTCATCCGGGGGTCGCCTTTTTGAGGAGTCTAAGACGTCTATAAGGTGACAGTCAGCAATATGAGCTACTCCTTCCTACAGTAGGACATTGTACAGAACTTCATTGCTTCAATCACTCCTGGCTCATGCCAGCAGTACGGTACTCATCCATTTGAGGACCCCTGACCAGGGTGAGTAGAGGTCTGTTGATCAGCCAAGCTTGGTTTGTTTTGGAGGGCCCAATTTGCATTTTGCAGATCTAGGCACAACAAGAAGCTTGTGGGCGAAAAAGGGGGGGTAGAGGACGCTACTAGGAGCAAAGGGCATCACTACTAGGAGCAAGGACGCTACTAGGGGCTCTTGGCCTTACTACTAGGAGCAAGGAAGCTACTAGGAGCTTTTTCGTGCAAAGATAGCTTGCACGGCCTCTCCAGCTTATTCGAAGTCAGGTATTTCCAGTCAGGGATGGTCCGGGAGTGTATTCTTGGTGGCTGGACCATCGCCGCAGCGTATTTGTCCTCGTTTCGGCGGAGCGCGGGCGAACGCGGGCGAGCTGTTTGAGGCGATTTTAGTGGCGGGATTGGTGCAGTGTGGGGAGTGACTGCCGTATTCATTAGGCTAGTCAATCCTTTTTGCGTTGCTAATAGCGATGGCCTCCAACCTACTAGAGATAAAAGAAACAGATCCATTTTGTGAACGCTCACTCTTTGCTCATTTCTGGCCTTTTCCATAGAGGTCTCTTCAGCGCAGATCTGAAAAGCCTGGGCCGGACGATGTTGGAATGTGTATCATGTGTGGTTCGGTTTTCCAGATGTGGCACGTGGTACGCACTGCCGTGCTGAGGTTTGTCATGGCTCAGAGGCCGAAACTCCGGGAGAGCACGTTCGTTGGGAGAGTCTCGGAGACCAGGGGTCAAGGCAGAAAGAATCACTAGCAGTTCGTGCTTATTGTCAAGAAATCAATTTTTTATCCTTTTTTGAACTGCTGTCATCTATATTTGAAGGGCACCAGTGGCCGTTTCACCATCCCGAAAGCGGGGAACACCTTCGAGTTCGGCAAAGCCCATCGGTCTCGGCGGAGCTCGGCCGTGTCAGGCGTGTGTTACTGGCACTTCTCTCGAGTGCAGTCTTGGGTCAGAGGCTTAGCAGCTTAGCATTGGTTTTGGGGGTCGTGTGGTTCATGTGTACTTTTCATCTGCGGAGGAGGGAGTGAGGCACACTTAGATCAATGCGAAGCGCAAGTGCTTCATTCACTCTTGTTTGCAGGTCTAGTCAATTGAAAGGCCATGAAGTAAGCATGTTGGCTCAACAAAGGATGTTGGCTCAAGACTTCGCTCTCTGCGCGACACTGGCACAAGTAATGCCACAACACCGGGCCATGAGAATGCGATGCTGAGTGATGCATAAAGCATATAAAGACGCGAGACGCGATTGTGAAGGGTATTCAGTGCGATGTGGTCCTAATTCGCTTTGACGATCATATGAGATGTGGGATGCCGTTGATCAACATGATCCAGATGTGTAATGGGTGTGCCGCACGGGTGTGCCGCACGATGTGCCGCACGGTGGACACCTCCAATATTTTTTGTTACTGGTAGTTTCTTGGGTTTGCCCTGAACCTGGGGGTTTGGCAGTTTCTCCAGGATTGTATTGGGTGATAGTGGGTGCAAGAATTCCTATCGGAATCCATTGGTAGACAAACATTGGCAACTCGTGCCGCGTTTGAGGCAGCTGCTTTTTGGCACCCAGTGTGCACTCCGCCACTGCACCGCGTTCGGCCAGCCAAGCTGGCGCCGCTTTTCGCTCGCAGGGGCCTCAAGAAGTGAGTCCCCCATCGACACGGGTGGGCACCTCTGCATCTAATAGCGATGGCCTCCAACCCCTCTGTTTTCCTGGGTGAAGTCGATGATCAGACTACGCATGACTACGGACTGACTGCAAACCTTTGTGAGAATCAACTGTGTTGGGTGGGGCAGCATGCTATGAGATCAATTGGGTGCAGCTTTTAAACATGATTTGACTAACTGGGTAACTGGGAGATGCGAAGGATTCCCCACCTGGTCACAGCGCTCTCTGCTATGCGTGGAGGTCCTCGATCCACACGAACAGCGCTGCCAAGGCGCGCCTTGGAGGCCCAAAGGCTACGAATATCTGTGGCTCCAAGCTACCCGAACCACCATTAATTTACTGTAATAACCAGGTCATCCCGAACCCCCATGGTTTTACAACATTTTACACACACACTTGTTTTAAAAGGGTCTTGGAAGTCTACGGCAATGTCCCATGCAAACCCGGATAAACACGCTGACCGCTGACCGCCTTGTCTTTGTTTCTGTGTGACATCGGTGCTCGAATTCCCCTTCGGACTAGCAGGAGTAGATCCGGGGTCGGTGTTTGATCTGCGGTAGAAACCTAGAAAGTCTGAGGCTTCGCATCCTGCTCCACATCCAAGGGTTGTTAGGATCCAGAAACAGGTTGAGGGCCCTAGGAAGGGTTGGAGGGCCTGGCCTGGCCCGATGCTAGTGTGGGGGTAAAGAATGGAATGCCATAGTGGGGACTCCAATGTCTTTTTCCCGGGAACACCTCGTGGCGAAGGGCTTTTTGCGCCTGTGGCCAGTTTGCCAGCTTCTCGCTGCTCTCCCTTGCGGCGCTGGCAGCTCAAATGCGGAGCAGCTCGAACAATTCGAGGGATTCGGGCGGCCGTATGCTGAGAACGAATGCCCTTGTGGATCTTCGTGGACAAATTACTAGAAGTATGATTCTGGATGAGATTCTTGAGAGATTGATATGTATATATATATGTAACATTCAAGGTAAGTGAATCTCATTTCATGGTAATTGGACCCTGGGCTTTCAAGATTGGTGACTGTTAAAATACTAGTGTGGGTGGGGTGGGGGAGCCGCACAGCCGCTGCGCTGCGGCTGCGGAGCAGCTGCTGCCTGCACAAGAAGCAGGCTGGGCATCGGTGAAGCGGGGGGATTGGAGTTGCAATAGCTCTTTGATGAGTTAATACGTTGAAGAAACAGGTTGGAAGTCAGCTTGATGATTGAATATACCACTTACTACATCACACTAAGACTAAGAGCCTTTCATGAGAAGCAACGTGATTTTGTGAAAAAGTTCTTTTGGCCCTGGCATCACGCTCTTGCTACACAAGCCATGGGCAAGTCTTTGGCTGCACTTCTTGTGGCAGAGAGGGAGAAGACAAAGGTCCATGTGAAGATCCTCGGCTATGTGATTCAAAAAGGTCTTAACCAAACTTCCTTATCTAGATTTTGACCACCTCACCTGTCGCCCTCCCAGTGCTCCGCTCAGGAAAAAACCTAGCGTCAAGAAAGACAAGAAGATCGTTAAACAGCCTGCTGAAGCTCAGCAACCCCCGCACCTGGTCTCAACCAAAAGCTATTTCATGGCTACACCACCCTTCATTTCCGCTCATAGGATACTGGGGATTGCGTTTGGGTACCCTGAGCCAAGGCGGCAGCTCGACCCATTCCCGATGCCAGAGACATCAGCCCAGCTGGGGAGGCTTAGATGCACTAGTTGGAAGGCTTTTAGTGTACATATGGGGATATATGGGGGTCTTCATTACATCCAAATGCATCCTTTAAAGTCCTCATCTGAGGACTTGGGCGTTCACTCTCCTTCGTCGTTTGGGAGATGTACTTGGCAAGGAATACTGCTGCAAGCAACTCGAGAAGAAGCAGAAAATCCTTTCGCTGTTCAGCGGCGTGGAATGCGCAAGGTTGGCTTGGGAGCATGTGAGCGCTGCCGCGAGTGACCTTTGGGGGATTCGATGCGGCCTGGAGTTCATCGGGGCAGCCCCTAGTCTCATTAGATTGAAATCCAATTGGTTGTATTGTTCTATACATCGATATCGTCCGTGGCAATTCCAGCGCTTGCCACTGCCACCCATATCTAAGGTTGAATGTGATGCTCAATGCCAACACTGGATCAAGGATAGATACCCCAACTCGTGTTTGTTTGGGAATGTTTTGGAGCTCATCACCAACAAGATCCCAGAGAAGAAAGTCTTGGAGCCCATGAAAATCAAGTTCAAGACCCACGCCAAGTGCTTGACGCATGGAAAGTCATGCCCCCTCCAGATTAAGGGGTCTTCCTTAGTCCTGGGAGCACCTTGCATCGCCTTCAGCCGGCCCCTTTTCTGCAAATACAGGGTCTGAGAACATGTCAGGTTCAATACGAGTTGTTCATGGCCCTTCTAGACTTGTCAGTTGCTAGTACACCACCGCCCAGGCTTGGTGCACGAGAGGGGTGGCAAAATGTCCAGAAGGCACAGGTCCATGCTGTGGCCACAGCAGCGATGAACCTTGCACAGTCCTCAACACACGAGAACGTGGTTGGCTACGACCCCAAGATGCTAGAGAGTTCTTGCACCAATGAGATTCAACTGGCTCAGCCCCTTGACTCAAACCCTTCCACAAACCCTTCCACAACCCCCTGCAAACCCTCAAACGATATAGCTGCCTAAACAGTCGCCCAGGATGATGCCGCAGCGATTTGGATACCCAGCCGGCAGGCCTCGCGAGTACAGGATCGCTTGGAATCCGACCGAGCGAGAGTGGGGCCAGGAGTGGGTCTGGCCGTTTGGGGGAGCGTGTTGCCACTTGAGAGTCAAGTTTTCGGAGTCAGTCGTTGAGTATTAAGCATCGACCATCCCGTTTGTCAGGATTTGACTTTTCAACAACTTGCTGACACCATTCTCGCAAAGAAGGGTGCAGTGCCAGTCTTGTCGCCAACTTGTTTCGCTATCAGCAGTTCGGAAGAAATCAAGTCACTGGTTGGGCCCAAGTCTCCAGAAGATGCCCTTTCTCCGTCATACACTTAGAAGATGGGTTCTCAGCTTTGTGGAATTTGACAAGCACTCAGACCCATTCTGGTTGCGACTTTAGGTCTATGCAGACAAGCCTGGCTAGCTACAGGCATTTGCTGGGAACCACCAAGACCATTTATGACCTTGGGCAATCCGCTGAAGCGGGCCGTGCCCGCACTGATCTTAAACATGGTGAACTTCCCACACTTGCCACTACCACCAGTCACCTATGGTGCCCTGACTTGAACATTTTCATGCTCATAGGTTAGTTTCCTGGCTTTTCCTGGCTTTAGTTTCCTTTCATACTCATGCTTAGATTTAGTGTGCATATGCGCGCCCAAGGTCCGAGGAGCTTCAAAGGTGCTACACGGGAAGAGAAAAGCTGTTCTCCCTTGGGGTGCCGGTTTGGGAGCCGGCAGCTGCAGCCGGAAAAGTGGTCCCTTGGGCCTTTGTTCTTAATTACGTTGTTTTGCGCACTGTTTGCACAACTGTCTTCAATTAGTCTCAAACTATGTCAAACAAGCCTTTTCTTGTGCGCTGTCATTTTAGGCGGCGATTTCCCTCAAGGGCTGCCAGGAGTCTTTTCTGACAAAAGCATCGGGCAACGGGATGCACCTTCCAAGCGTCGGCTTAGCACTGCTGCTGCAAATGCTTTGTCTTACTGACAAGCAGAGTGAGACATAGGCCGTATGTTCAGTGAATCTCTATTCAAATTCATCTTGAGTTGGCAAGGATGTGAAACCCTGTTCCCAACTCCATGCTACGCTGCGCACATCACGTAGAACAAGGGAAAAGGGTTTGAATGCGATCTTTGGGGTTCAGCGCCACGCGGTCCCATCGCTGATTTTGGGCATCGCCGGCGTCCCCGTTCTTGATTCTGGTCCCATCGCTGCGGCGCAGGCCTGCCGCGTGACCACCACCAACTCCCTCCAACCAAGTGCCAGCCTCAAATCAGAGCAAAGGGGGCACCACTGGCTGAAAGTCCAGGCTCGAAAGTCAAGTGGCAGCACTCTGACAGTTGCTGAACGAAGGTACTAGTTTGTTACCAGGTGGTATGTACTCATGCACCTGCAGCCATTTCCTCAAGCCATTTCGGAACGATTGTAAAGGGACATGCAATTGAATGAAATCAAAGCCTCAGAACCAAAGGTCCAGTCAAAGAAACACAAATGGAGTTAAACTGCTTTTTAAAATGAAGTTACACGACATGACGTCATATCATATATCGTTTCGATGCCGCAATCCCTCAAGAAGTTGCAATGCCGCCCTTCCAAGCTGAGGGGCCCGAGCGTCCTCGAGACCACAAGCCACCTGTAAGTGGGGGAAGTTCGCAAGCTGCAGGAGGTGTGGTGTGAAAAAACATTGACTTGGTCCCTGGTGTACTCCTGACTTGGTTCTTGTTAAGTGTGTTGCCATGTGCCATCTCTGAAGGTGTATCTAGAAGAAAGCGGCCTGGTGGTTCCGAGCCACTTCACAAACCAGTGTGCATTTTCCAACCAGAGCCCGAAGAAGGTGTTCGTTGCGGTAGGGATAGTTCGTCAGCGACAGCGAAAAGGCCTTTTGAACCGCAGAATCTTCATCGAGTGGTTCAGAGAGCGATGATGGAGAACAGCCTACAACTTCTTTCAATTTTGGGTGGTCCCAGTTACACAAGGCGGCGAAGGCCCACTTTGCTCAGAACATTCGCAAAGTGCAGAAACCCACCATGAAGAAGAAGCGTCCCTATGACAATTCCAGGCGGCAAGCCATGGCAACCTATAAACGTTCCGGGGTCAAGCTGAAAGAGAACGGCAAGTCCTCGAAACGAATTCTGTCCGTCTTGTCGAAAGATACATGTTTGTGTACCGGGGCTTCACCCATGTATTTTGTCTGGGATTCTATATAATTGGGGCTGTGGTTCAGGGTGTGTAAATATGATAATATTGGAGTTTGTCTTCGCACGCTGTTTCTGTAAGGTGCCCGGAAAACTTGCTACAGTCAATACAAAGAGAACGATATTCGCAACTTCCTCAATGAGTTTTGGGATTTGGACAAGTCTGACCAAGATTCACTTGCACCTCCAACTGCAATGAGATTGAATGGTCCTCACTTTGTAAAGCCTAGACCTCTTTCAATGGACCATCAAATGTAAGGCCTAAGTGAGTTTCTCTTCCATTGCGCTTCCATTGACACTCACTAAGTTGGGCATGGCCGTTGATGGAACTGGGCCCATCCAATCCACGACATTCCTCGAGCAAGAGGTCGGATTCCGTTGCCTGGCCTCGCTGCTGGGCGTAGGAACCAATCGCCTTAGGCGATCCGGAAACACGGCGCCCGATTTGAGGCTTGGCAAGGACAAGTCGGGAAGTCAGAAGGAATCCTTTTCAATAGACGCATTTTTCGCAACACTTTACCAGAGTGTGGCAGAGACCCTGCCAGACAGACAGGGTTGGGTGGAAAAGTGTTGGTTGAGGGACCACTCAATAAGGAGTAATTTTCAATGTCAATAGAGCCAGCGCTGCTGGAAACCTGGTAGGTTCATCCGAAGGGGGCGGGCTGCCCACGCAGACGACAGTGATTTTGACATCGCTTCGGACGTGGATGATACAGAATTGACATCATGGCTGCAGAAAGCTGGTAGCAGCATATCGCTGGACATTATCCAATGGGATGATTCCAAGAAAATGACCAAGTTCCTACCGCCCGGGAACTTGTCAGAACTTTACAATCATTATTCTTCAGCTCGAAGGCTCATGGGGTCATCTCATGCATCGTCCTCCGGACTTACTGATGGAACAATTTTGGGTCACGTAACTACTGTTTAACTAGACTCGACTCTTTCTGTCTCTGTCACCATCGGACTCTTTTAGCGCCCAGGTATGCAACATTTGTCCGGATTTACAAGGCACGGTGGGCAGACGTCCTCAAATTTCGAAGCAAAACGATGCTCTCTGTCTGCACATTGTTGTGTAAGTTTTCGGTCTTTTTTCTTGTCATTAAGCCAATCAGTTTTAAGGTTCAGTCGGTGCGAGATATGCACCCGCTTGACGAAGCAACTCAGCGACCGTTCGCTGTCGATAGAAAGCAAACTCGGGACAGTCAAGACCTATCGTGAACACCTGCACGCGCAGTTTGTCGACCGCAGCATTCAGTGGTCGCTGAATTCTTTGTCAGCAGACCATGACAGCAACACCTTGATGATCTTGATTGACGGGTGCGACCAAGGGAAATTTCGCATCCCCAGGCATCCTAACCACAGAATCATCGCATCAATGAATCCTGTCCTGGTTGCTCACTGTTTTCATGTCATGTGTTTTCTTTAAGTCTTAATATAATGGTAATCTGTCATACTCTATTTGGGTCAGCAGTTCAGCAAGTAAGGGCCAATGTGCAAAGACCATGCCTGAAGTTACACGCAGCATGGGCTGTTGGAATCTCGTCCGATGATTTTTTAACCTGTTTTGAGGGTGTGGTAACGTGGGAGTCTTTGTGTTGAAAACCTAAGGTTGGTCGTGTGACCTCTATCTACTTGATGAAATCACAAAACACGACAGCAGCTGCATAACAGAGTGCATCGCATTGACCCTCGAGCGTGTTCGAAGAATTGCGCACAAAAAGGGCAAGCAAATGCCACAAACCATTCTAATTGGCAGCGACAACACTGTGCGAGAGGCCAAGAACTCCTACCTCTTATCGTATCTGGCAAACCTCACACAGCGTGGCTTGGCAAAGTGCGCAGGGCTCCTAAACCTGCGTAAGTCACACACCCACGACGCCGTGGACCAACTCTGGGGTGTATTAGCGCGGAGAGTTGGTAACAGCGATTCATTCCAAACACCAGAGGGCGTGAAGAACATTCTACTGGCAGAACTGGGCCGGCCAGGTCTCAAATCATGGATCGGGCTCCAATGTGAAGTATCTGTTTCCAAGCTCAACGCGGTACACGCTTGGAAGACCCACTTTGAGGCTGAACAGGTTGGCCTTAGCGGAGGGCTAAAAGATGATGCTTCTGCGAACCACTGTTTCTTGATGATGCAGCGTCGAGGCCTGTTGCTACCACTGCTCCACTCATACATCGTTTACAGTAAGTAAGTACTAAACTGTTTACACCATTCAGCGTCCGTATACAATTTGCTATGCGCCAGACCTTCCCGATCAATTGCAAGCAAACATCGACTCTGGAAGTCTCCGCGCAGTCCCTCAACCTGGCGATGTGATCTGCCTGGTCAAGCGTTATATGGGATCCCAGAACCTAGCCCAACCGCCCCTTTTGGTATTGACTACAGGTCGTGCATTGCGAGTGCGTAGCATGGTTCCTGCGACAAAGCCATTGAGCTGGATTGATTGGGGACTTTTATTGTTTGTTTTAATTTAGGTGAATAGAAAACTGCTTCATTTCTTCACCACACACCCCATGCAAAGGCACCCAAACAGCTACAGTGCCTCTTTCAGAGACCAATGTCTGGAAGTTGCTAAAGCAGTTCAGGAAAGTTACGGCCGGGAGTACACGGAAAGTGTGCTCTACCTAGAGACGTTGGCGAGAAATCGCTTCTATGCGCCTAGACTTGGAAAGAACTCGCTTCTAGTTAGTTAACACGTTCAATAATTTGTGCTCTTTCCTACATTCCGCCGTTTGCTTACCAAGTCCCACGCTTTGCTTTGCCAGGTTGGTGCAGTCCTGCCAGATCTTCCTTGGCATGGCACTTCCGTGGATGTGGCAGAAATCGGGGCCCCTGTTTTCCAGCTTCATCCATCCGTTGTGGCTGCAATGGCCCCGGGTATTGCCTTGAGGGCAGCTTTTGGTGGGGCCAGGAACGTATGATGTCTGACACTGCTACTTGCGGAGATGTATGGGGATTGCTGTTTGAAGGGGTTCTCTTTGCCCTGTGGTTGCCTTGAGGGCAAAAGTCATTTAAGGGCTGACTCTTTGTGACAAATGGATCTCCTCGAAGGGGAGCTTCAAAGATGCGACCAGCGCCAAACGCAAAATGTTTGGCCTTCCGGATTTCTGGATTTATAAACGTCACGAGTCACAAGTCAGGATTTTTCAAACATGGTCAAACAGCATCCTCTTAGTGTCTTAGTTTTCTTACGGCTGTTTTGCTCAAGTTTTGCACCCTGAACAGCTTCCTAAGTGGTGCTACTCTAATGGAGACCCAAGGAAAATGCCCATGTTGCTGGAACGGCGGCCCTCCATATGTTTGGCACAAACGGAGTGCTCCACACATCCCGCAAACAAAGGAGCTGTTGATTGCGGCGTTGAAGGGCTTTGGTACAGCTGATGAGCGATGCTTGTGGCAGAATTTGCCCAAAGACGAGCTGAAGCACATTTACCGCAAATATGTTCGGGGGGAGCCTCACCCTTGTGACCCAACACAGGGAATGGGAGGCCTGAACAAAGAGCCCCTAGCGCAGCGCCTTGCTGAACATGGTGTGACACCACCCGGAAAGGTAAACAAAGGTGCCATGATGTCTTTGATGAGAGATCATTGGATGGAACAATGCGCATTGGCTGAGAGTGACAATCCCACCAAACCTGCGTCGCCACAATCGCAGGAAGATCCCTGGGACCTCATTCAACCGGAAGATGAAATGCAACACTTGGTTCAAGACTTTTGTGACGCAAGTGAATCCCTAGAACTTGCGCTGAATGCCATTTGGGATAAATGCAGTTCCAAACCATCCAAAGTGAAGGACCTCATCAACAAAGTGAGGGCTGCTCACTGCTGTTTGGTGGAAGCATCTAATCAGTTTATTGATAGTCTAGATTAGGTCCGGTTAGGGGCTCGCAGTGTGGAGCTTTCGAGATATGAACCTGTTGGCAGTGCATCCGCTTCAAAAGGAGTGGCCGTGTTGTGAGAACAAGGAAAAGCCTTCTGGACTTGATGTCTGTTTGGAAGAAACCTGGGTGTATAACTCTTTGGATCTCTATGTAGCCCTCAAATCAGTGCCACCGATGCCACCGGCTTGCCAAGGCGCTATACTCACTTCCTTCAAAGGCGCTATCCTCGGGGTGCCGGAAGAACTTTCGATGGTACGTGGGGTGCCGGGAGAAGATTTTCGATGGTACGTGGGGTGCCCGGAGAAGATTTTCGA